CTATCCGAATTCCGCATTGGAAAGTTATGGGACGGCTACCGAGGGGCTAGGAGCGTTGTCGCGTTGTTTGAGTTGTGTCATTTCGTGTGCGTATGTGTGCGTGCGTATTTTGTTTTGTGTTCGTTAAAGTGGTGTGCGCGTGGTGTGTGGGATACGTCCTAGTCGACCGACGACGGGCCGCGCTTGGGACTTTAGCCCTCCAAGACGACGGTTCGCGTGCGGGCCCGATAGAGACCTATTACCGCGCATACCCCCTATGCTACAGCGAACGAGAAACGCCATCGGCTGGTCCACCTCTGCGATTCCAACTGATTAGCTTTCGTACTGTGGACTGGTAGCTCGGCGGGGATACGCCCACCGAAGAGAGGTGACAGCTCCCGTAAGGTGTAGGTAAGTCGTGCCTCGCGTAGGCCCTATCCTGTCGTAGGGGCTCGCGAGAGGTATGGATGGCGCACTCGGCCGGAGCGGCTTGCGGAAGCTCCACATGTATAATTTGTGACGAAGGATTTGAACCAACTCCTGCATGACGCGGCCGGGAGGGTCCCGCGCTGCCCTGGTGCGGTGTCGGACCGATGCGCTCGACAACGCCCACACATTCTCTACTCCAGTCAATCATCTAGTCAACATAAACCTCAGACACCGCCATGCCTCGCGCGATACGTAAACTTTAAGCCAAACTTATTTTTTGTTACTAGCAAAAACGAGGGTGGATACCCTTGTAAGGGTATTCGCACAGACAGCGTGAGTTCTGATCTATCGGCTTTTAAGCCAAAATTTCCCTGGACAAGATCGCCAGACACTCTCTGATTGCTCTCTACTCTCTCCTCCCCTCTGATTTGCGTCTATTCTCCCTCACTCTGTCCTTCTGTTATGTTTTGTTATAATAGATGGATTATAATAACTTTGCTCCTCTCACTTTGATGTGTGCATGCAGTGAGTCGTATTAGAGAGCTTGTTGTAAGATGGCGGAGATAATGATTGGCTGATCGAATGGATGATCTAGTTGCTTAAAGTGTCCAACGGATGGTACATGATTATGAAGAATTTTTGCTTTGTTGCCATGTGGACTGACGGCCCCAACCCGACCGGGCGCCAACTTCCCATACCCCCGCCGTGCCCCTTCCTGTACAACGAGGAGGGGTACGTGTATGCGAGTGGGACGTAAGAGAAGCGGTCGCTAAGATCGGCGGGCGCTACTACTTTCCTCCCAAAACTGAGTGTTCTAGATTCGCAAGTGTAGGTTTTGTTATTGTTGATACGCACTTTCCGCCCTATTCGTTGTTATTGGCATTTAACAAGTTGATCGTCGTCCCAATGACGACAATGGAGCCTCATTCAAGTTGGCCTAACACTCTGTGCAACGACTGTCGCCGCTCCGACCGTTACCGGACTAAGGGTTTTCATTACCGCACACGTGGCGAGCACGAGCACAAGGAGAGGGTTGCTCGATTGAAACCCTCCACGTCGAACTCAGAGTTGTGTAACAAGCGCCGACGAGACCTCATTCGTAAACGGGATACCACGTGTGTACCCGCCCCCTTTCACGCGAAACGAAGAGCGACGGCTCGTTGGAAAGGCCAACGATACTTTTGGGATTGAATTTCCCATAGTCGCGAGTCCCGCGCGCGCCCTTTTTTCCCTCAAGCCCGCGTGGAAACGGACCTCCTTCTTGCTAAAATCAGACCAACACGGGGGATTTCAGTTCTATCTGTGTCCCCACACTCAACTTTCCCAAAAATCCTTGGCACACCTCATCGTCGCTGACCTCCTGGGGCCCTTCAGCAAATCGAAACACTCCGACCGGGAACCAATGCAGGGCGTGAGTTTGAGCGTCACAAACGTCTCTAGTATTTTCTCAAGTGCACATGGAACGAAGATTGCTGTAAGTATTTGTTGATCGCGATTCCGGGATTATGGCGCACTTGAGACTCTAGGGTTCTCTAGTGGTGTCGAACGAGGCCCTATGTATGTATAGTACGGGGGAACACCAACCAACCCGGATCTCTCCCCAACCCACGGGGTAGGTTAGCACCACAACTGTGGTGTGAGAGTAAGGTTGTACGAGTCCCTCATGATGGTGACGAGGGGTGGGCAGGCATTGCCTATGGGGGAAATCGGTGGTGCTAGCACCCAGCAATGGCCAGTCACTGCACCTGCCCCTCCCCCCCCCCCCCCCCCCCCCCCCCCCCCCCCCCCCCCCCCCCCCCCCCCCCCCCCCCCCCCCCCCCCCCCCCCCCCCCTCACGAACCCCACATGGCGGTGTCTAATGGCATAGACAATATTCCCTCCAATTTTTTATTTTTTTTTAAGTAATCTTTATTCTTCTCTGAATTTATTTCATATTCCCTCCAATTTCGAACTCAGGCCGTAGTCACTCTAGGTCTCTTCTAAATGTATCTAACCGCAACTATGGCCCCAGCTGTATGAATCTATCTACCTGATCGCGTCCAGAGCTTAGGAGAAAACGTCCTCATGCGAGTATGTCGTCAAGCCTTTGGGCCTCGCTCCACTACTCTTGACATCCACGAAAGACAAAAAAGAATCATGGCAGTGTATCTTTCCATGTTCTAGCAGAAGATTCACTCCCTTCGTTTCAACAACAGTTGATAGGTGTACGAAGTTTAGCTATAGGACAGCATGTGGTTAAGCTTTTTTTTTTTTTTTTTTTTTTTTTTTTTTTTTTTTTTTTTTTTTAGTTAAGAAAAAGGACGACGACCTTGAGATATCGGCCCAGCTCAATTGGTTAGGCACGCAAGTGGCATTCAGGAGGTCGTGGGTTCAATCCTCATGGCCGCCTGTAGCACTCTTGGTGGCAACCAACTGACATAGTCAGCTGGATTCTCCCAGTTGGTATTAGTAAGGTCTTCCGCCAACACGGGTGCGAGTGTGAGTGCATGTGTGAGTGGGTTATGTGTGGTGTGTGGGAGAGTGTTGACTTTAGAGTCTAGACACTACTGTTACTCGATGGGGGTGGGGGAAGAATCAGAAGATGAAAAGGGAGGCACAGTTACTGGCAAATGCTCAGTCCTTGTGTTAGTCGGGCCCCCACTGGCAGCCCCAACCCTGCACCCTAAACGCTAGGGCAAAGGGGGCAAACATGCCGTTACCCCTCTCCACCACCGAGAGAAAGGTAGAAAGTTATGCTTGCAGGGGTCCCCTGTATAGCCTTAGGAATAGTGGTAGATAACGAAAAGAAAGATATGTTTCGTGACATGGCAGTACGCCAGAAAGATATGCGAGGTGAGAGAAAAATATATGGCTGTCCCCCGGGGCTCAGTCCCACCTGCGCATTTTCGTTGTAGGAGGCTACCACGAAGAGAATGGCAGGCGCCTAAGGACCATGGATTGACACAATCGATGGTCCCTAGACGCCCGCCAGTCACTTCGTGGTAGCCTCCTACAACGGACGGAAAGACGCAGGTGGGACCGAGCCCCCGATGAGGAGAAGACAAAAAAAAAAAAAAAGATATCGTCATTACGCTGACCGAACTCATGGCAATTTAGAAAAAAATTGTTTTCCTCATCAACTTCCATCATCTGGAGTCCAACTGAGGTCTATATATTTCAACAGTTCATTGGTCTACCCACTGAGCTATAGGCTCTAGCGAGGCTCAGCCTGCCGGCTACGCCCTTCCGTCCGCAAGGACAGAAACGTGACGAAATGAGGGCGGGTGATGGGAACGCCACCGTCGACGCTGGTTTGCGCTCGCGGTCCTGCATTGTTGGTTGGCGCTATCTAACGCCGCCGTACCAACCCGTCGAGTGGTGACGCGCTATCACGACGCGAATTCACCACGGTGAACGCGACACGCTGGATCTCTTTCAGCGATGGGAGTTTCCCCCGTACGTCCCTGTTCACCTGACGGCCATTGCCTCCACTGAAGTAAGACCGGAACTTTTACCACGCATCATTATTGTAGAGGTGGGAAACGCTAGGCATGTACCAAGGACAGCTACATTGGACATATCACCACCGCCGCCTCAGCTTCATCAAGTCTGGGCTCAGCTTCATCGATGGTAACCGCGGAACTAGTTGCTTCTTTAAGTCCAGCGGTAACTTCCTTTCGCTTTGGCCAGATACTCTCTTATGACCTTCGTGTTGTCGCTCCGACCCACCACTCTTGGATAGAATATGCCCGTGTTAGTTGTGCTTCATGCTGGATTGCTTCGATCACGAAACACTCTCCACCGCGACGGTAGGTGCAATACTATGGAGTACTGACTCTGCAGGCATACCCCAGATGAACGAGCGACTAGATAGAATGTTAGACTTAGATGCTGATGGTGCTTAACGGGATAGGCAGTAGATGGATGGTAAGGACCAGTTAGTCCTTAGTAATGCTACGGGAATAGGAATGGGGCGGTTTCCGTAAAATGGATGCTTGCGGAGACGATAGGGCTAGTATCGATCCGCGCTCTTGATTGTCATACAGCGGAGCCCGACGCGCGCGCATATACCCGCGCCCTAAAACTAGGTCGGAGTCGACATGCTCCCCACCGCTCGGTGATAGAGAACCTTATCCCTCGGCAAAGGCGTAGGCCAAGCCTGCCGCCATAGTTCGGAACTCCTCCGACTAGGGTTAGAGTAGTAGTCGATGGATTAGCCCCCCCTAAACGCCGATGTCCCCAAGATTGGAGTTTTACTGCCCGTAGACGGGAGGAAGGACATAACATTATGTTGCTTACCTCCCCTCCTAGGTGAACGTGGACGAAAACTAGGGTTAAGCTGCTATCGGAACATCTCCGCCCGAGCACGCGGTTCTCCTGCATTGTCATCTCCCGCGGGAGGACACGGAGTGGTAGACCCCCGACTCGGTGCACATGGATTCCTTGGAATAACAGCAGCAGATAGTCGACCATCGTCGGTCCTCATTTCAAGTTCAATCGCCGTCCGGATGACAAGCACTATCGATAGCCTCACTCCCGCTACCCTTCTCCCCGAACCTCCCGAGGGAGTCACTATCCGGCCGTGTTTAGTCCAGTTGGCAATAGGAAGGTAGGCAGTGGTATTACGGCGCGCCACCCTCCCTGTAGCCAAACATTTCAATCCCAGCAATAGACTGCTGGACGAAGTAGCAACTGATGCCTTAACAACCGCCAACACCTTTTAACGATATCAGCAAGCAACGGAGATGGCGGGCTTAGCCTCAGTGGAACTTGTAATGGAAGAGCAGGTCTTTCAGGGTGGCCACTCCGCTCCAGGAGGGCCAGAGGAATCCTTCGAAGAAAGAGTCCGATTACTGCTATCCATGTGTTACGATGATGGGATGCTTCCTGATGAACTACAGCTAGAGGAGGTTGTTATCGAAGGGAATGAGGCGGTAGTAACGGTGAATGAGAAATTCGATGAGATAAAAATCAGATGGTTAATGGAACGCACGGTGGTGATTATCTTTAGGGATGCCGCACGCGAGCTCCCCCGTAAGATGAAAGAAGACATCGTACGCACGTACGAGAACGGATGGCAGAGAGACCACATATTCGACCCCCCCGTGGGGAGGGGACGTGTGAAATTTGAAGGGCCAAATGTGATTTCGTACGTATCACGAGACAAAGTCGTAGCAGATTGGATGGTTAATGAGGGGGAGGGCGCTGTCACGCTTCGAAATAGGAGGTATGCCTTCGAATTGAAACCATGGATGACAAAAGTCGATTGGAAGGAGCTCAGGAGAGCCGAGTTGGAAAACACGTTTTGGGTAGTAGCCATTCAAATTCCGCTAGATGCTCTGGTGTATGTTCGCGCTGCACTCAAAAAAGTGATTGGGCAGGTAGTCCGCGTGCACCCACCAGATCGCTTCGGGGCAAACCCCAAAGTGGGAAACGTTAAGTTCGATCTCGATCCTGAAACCAGATCCAAGTTTGTCGACAGGATCTCGGTCCGATCCAAGCAAGGGGAGATGATGGAAGTGAAACTCGCCACATCCTCTACCCCCTACTGCACCAACTGCAGATGATACTATCACACAATTGACATGTGCACCAGGGGAGATAGCGGTAGAAGAAACAACCGGGATCGAAACGGCTGAATCTCAGAGCCTGACCAGGCGGATTCCTCCGGCGACGATTCCTCCCAAAACTCCAACACACAGGGGAGATCCAGGAGTAGACAGGGCATACCCCGTTATCAGGGAAGTCTAGCCCCAAGCAGAAGTAGAAGCCCTGCCGCACCCAGTCACTCACACCACTCAATAGCACAAAGGGATGGAGATGACCTTCAAAGAGATGGCGGTTTCAACAGGCACCTTGGCCGTATCAGCCCTGTCTTCTCCCCTTCAGGAAACCAGTCAAGAGATCTGAAATCCCTCCACCCAATCGCAGGGGCCAATCTGTATCGAATGGAAGATCACATGGACTACTCAAGAACACCCATGAACAGTCTGTTGCTGGTCGCCTCCCTCTATAGCGAAGAACCCCCCCCCCTGGGGACAGAAGATGGTCAGACGCATTCGCATCCGAGCCATTGTCAGTTGGTTGTACACTCACCATCAGGGAGACCCCTCTCAACAGATGAGGCTTGCTCCCCAGGAGGGAACCTCTACCCATCCTCGGCCCTGGTTCCATTTGCCAGAAGTGCCAGAGGACAGTCTTCTCTTAAGATGCCCAGAGTTACTAGACATGTAGCAAGCAGTAGCCAGCCCCACGACCAGACTTCAGATAACAATCCCCTACAACACGAAAGATCCAATGCTTTGAATGTCAGTGCCGCGGAGTCGTCGACGTCCGTCAGATCAGGTAACGACACAGCTCTACCTCATCTTGGAACCAAAACGTCCCGTAGTAGAAAAATGGTCTTTGCGCACAGGAACACACACACTGAAATGGAAAAATGGCTTATGGCATTCATCTGCTCCATCATTAACTGAACCATCCACATCATTGCCTGACAATTGGAGAATGCCAAGGTCACCTTCCTGACACATCAGGTGGAAGACCCGGTCACTCCGCAAGTAATCCTTTCACTGGCTAGACAGATCTTCTCGGACCAGTTCCCCATCAGACTGGTCCCCCACATGTCAATGCCAAGATTTTACCCAGACATCACGGGACGTAACGTCAAAGTGTTTGCTCCAATCCTTGATGCGTGTATACCGACCAACGGCCTGGACACCTTCATGCAGGTTGGCCTGCGGCTGATCCCCCTCTCCATATTCATAGAAGAGGATTTGGATTCCCTGCATCAGATGTCCGTCCAACACGTGGCCGATGCCAGTTTCGTGTCCAAATTGAATGACGAACTCCCGAAGAACAAAAGGTTGGAATCGTTGTACCTGAAGAACCTCCTCTCTCAGAAATGGTCGTCGACCTCAGCGCCGGGGACATCAGGCAAACCCAGAGACTCCCAACAGGCAGGACCATCCAGGCCCACAACTGCAGCCCCCTACATCCAATCCAGGGTGCAGGGCTCACGGGTAGATGGATAACCTTACGATTGCTACATGGAATTTGAGGGGCCTGGGAGATACGACGAAGAGAAAGAAAAAAACAAGACTGAAATCTTGGCTACACAGGCACCGCGTCCACATTATCTGCATACAGGAGAGTATACTGGACGACAGGAAGCTGTTAGAGTTGGGGAATTGGTGGGACAACCCCAGATCTGGTTCCCCGCAGTCGAGAGCAGAGGAGGTGTGGGTATCTTAATACACAGAGACCTTCCCATAGACATTATTGACTCTGCTGCAGACCTATGGGGATGATGGACCTGGGTAAAATTTGGCATGGAGGGAAAAGAGTGGGCAGTAATGAACATCTACGCCTCAGTACACAGATCCGACCGCAGGTTGTTTTTCGAGGACTTAATTTCCCACACACCAGATGTAGACAATCTGCTAGTAGTTAGAGATTGGAATTGTTCGTTGGACGACATCCTTGCCCCCTCAACGGACTCCCCGGACATTTTGGCACTCACAGACTACATGTTAGAGTTGGAGCTGTGCGATGCATTTAGACTAATGCACCGCACAGACGCAGGTTTCACATGGTGTTCCACAGCCTTAGAGGGCGGGAACGCTAGAGTAGTATTCATAAGATTAGATGCGTTCCTCTTAAGCCCCGCCTGGTGGGACGCTTTGTTGGATGTGGGGGTATTCAAAACCCCTGTATCAGACCATAACCCTGTGAAAGCAACGTTCCATATTTCGCACAGCGAAGACAGGGGCAAGGGTTACTTCAGGCTGAACACCCGGAACTTAAAGGATGAAGGTCTCTCAGACTGGATCAATAATTTTTTCGGTAAATGGTCAGGTGCCCAACAATACTTCGACTCCTTGGGGGATTGGTGGGACGTGGGCACTAGCATTGCCTCCGGATTCCTTAACATCTTCTCACGGATCCTAGTTGCAGAACGTAACAAGGAAGAAAACTGTATCTTGCGGGATCTCAAATGGGTGGAGGACAGGATGAAGTCACACCCAATCTCGGCAGGAGCCTGGGCAGGGGAACGTGCGAGGTTGCTTGCAAAGTGGGATAACCTGCAACAGACTGCTTCAGATGAGTGGGCCGAAAGACTAACAGTGAAAGGGATTGCGGTGTTCGACCGCATGACAAAAGAATCGTTTCAACGCCTGTTGCCGAAGAGAGCAACACAGACAATGAAACAACTGCATCACCCTTTTATCCACAAGGAAAGACCAGCCACTACCTTAACCACCATGTACAGGTACGTCGTACAGTACTTTCAGGATATATTGACTACCCGTAGGCCAGGGGAATCCCCAGAAACGGACCTCTCCTGCAGAACAGACAACTGGGTAAACACAACAGTCCGGCTAACGCACCTAGGAAGACTGGATCTTGACAGACCAGTCTACTGAGGAAGTTGAGGAAACTTTGAGACACATAGCGAAGGGTAAAGCCCCCGGTAGAGATGGTCTTCCGGTGGAAATGTATCAACAACACAGTGTCGTCCTGGCCCCCAGCCTAGTACGCATCTTCAACGCAGCATTAACAGATAGGCACCTCTCTCGTGGTATGGTCCATGGTATCATCACTGTGATGTACAAGAAAGGAGACAAAGCGGATATCAGGAACTGGAGACCTATTTCATTGCTCAACGTTTCCTATAAGATACTAGCGAAACTATTGGCCCGTAGGTTACGGAGATACTTACCGGATTTAGTAGCCCAAGCCCAGGCAGCTTTTGTGCAGGGCAGGTCTATCATGGACAATATCGTGACCGCAATTGAAGCCTTAGAATGGATTCGTGAAGAGAACCTCGATGTGGCAGTCCTCCTGCTAGACCTTGAGAAGGCCTATGACAGGGTCAATTGGGCATACGTGCTAACAACCCTGAAACTAATGAACTTCGGAAGCAGCTTCTGCATGTGGGTCTCAGAGCTGTATGTGTTATCTACAGCTTCAGTCGCCATAAACGGCCACATCTCCCATCCGTTTGCCCTCTCGAGATCGCTCCGTCAAGGGTGCCCTTTGGCACCACTGCTCTTTGTCCTGCAACTAGAAGTGCTAGTCAGCAACATCAGAAATCACCCCAATATTACTAGGGGCCTGCAGACTCAAAACCGGGAATGCAGGGTCAAGGCCTTAGCAAATGACCTGCTGGCAATATCAGAGAATTTTGTTCAGTCCCTATCCGCCCTGAAAGCTTGCCTTGTACAATACGCGGACCTATCGAAGGCCGCGGTTAAATGGAACAAAAGTGTGTACCTCCTGCCGAACAGATACTGCCTCGCAGTCGAATGGGGAATGAAAAGAATCGCAGAAGGAGCCTCAGAATGATACTTGGGAATACAGGTCACATTGGGAAGGTGTGTGGATGCCCCAAAGGATCTGTTACAGCAAAAAATCATCTGTCGTATCGCCGTCTGGGGCGCCGCCCCACACTTGTCTCTATTCGGCAGAGCTCTAGTATCCAATGTAGCCTTGTTCGCTCTCCTTTGGTTTGTAGGTGCAGTTAGACAATTGGGAAAACAGATGCTTAGAATAGTCAGGCGAGTTGTAGCGAAATTCCTCTGGAAGCTGTTTGGGAAGGAGGATGCTGGTTTTATTTCCAAAGTAGCGTGGGACCTCGTTTGTTTCCCCCGCTCAGAAGGAGGACTCGGTCTCCTAGACCCTGGGCGCCAGAACGCCGCCCTCCTATCAAAATGGGTGATTAAGGCAGCAACCAGTGATTCTGAGGATCATTGGATCCTCTTGGCGGAACAGATACTGGCAAACGATTGGAATCTCCCAAGATACCAAGATGTGTGGACGTGCTGCATGCTGGACTCATTCCTCTGCCGGAAAATCAGGTCCGAATTTTGGAACGGTGTGCTGAAAGCGTGGAGGAAACTGGGCCCCAAGGTCTGGGTCCCACCGGTAACTAGTGCTGTCCCAGCCCCTTTTTGACAACCCCGCAATCAGATCCTCATAAGGGAGAACATTCTCTGCGGGCAGCGCCCCAGATGCGTTCGGCCGACAGTGGGCAGAAAGAGGGGTGCTGAAAATTGCTGATCTTTGGAACGAAATCACAGGCCAGTGGCACTTGGGGCAGACCCTGAGTGGCACTCGGGGAAGAATGGTATACCCAGTTGTTACTTGCCATCCCTCCAGAATGGCTCCCGTTGCTCAGCCCCTTGGGGGTGGACCCTCCGGGAACCTGGTTCGTAGAAGATGCAGCACCTGCTCTGCCAACCTGTTTTTGGAAACTCATATCCCTCAAGGAAGATGGCTCAAGACTCTTCCAAGCGTGGGACAAACCGAACTCCGGCCCTTCACTGCTTGGTAGGGGGGAAGACCCCACCCCCTCCTCGGTGGGCCATGCGCCTGGTACGCTCTCGCAGGTCAGAGTGAGGGAAGTTTGTGATGAAGATGGCTCTTGGAAGTGCACTGTTTGGGCGAACGGTAAGCCAGTCCGCTGTCTCAAACTGGACCCGAAGCTCTGGGCGTGGAGAGACCCTGCTCACTTCTCAGAAGACTCTTGGCTGACAGACTACACCGCCGCCGGGGGATATGCCCTTCAGCAAACTGCCAGGACCCCACTATTGGTTGCAGTCAGCAGATGGACTCAAGTAACTACATACGACAGTGTCTCCATAAGCTCCGATATTGTACGTTGTTGGAAGCAGCTTCAAATCGCACCGATGCCCAGAGCGGCAGTTCTGCTCTGGCTTCTCTCTCTATTGGTCACCCCCTCTGCGGTGTGGCTCACAGAAAGGGGAATGAAGGTTCAGCTACAGTGTGGCAGATGGAGGTGGCCCTTTGAGTCTACCACTCATTTGTGGCTTTCCTGTCCGCTGTCCCATCGGATCTGGAAATGGTGGCACTCACAATGGGACCGTCGGCTCTATCATTCAATGGGACGAAAAATGGATTTTGCTTGGTGGAGTACCAGAAGATCTCACCTTGCATAAGGGCTGGGGGTACATCGCCCAGGCCCTGAGGGCCTGTCTGTTCTCCATCATTTGGGAAGTCAGGAACAAGAATGTATTTGAGGGCAGATTCCTGGCAGATACAGCGATAAAATCAAGGACCAAGACTCTTGTCAGGCAGGTCATCAAAGCTGATTGGAGGAGGAAAGTCCTCACCTTCCACCCATTGGCAAGCACAGCAGGGTTGGCTTGGTTTGACTCCACCTGGACCTTGGGAGGAAAGTTGGCAAGGATTGAAGGTAGTACATTGATTCTGGATCAGTGGCTAGTAGGTAACGAGTAAAAACCTGGGCAGTCGGTTTAGTGTCCATAGTAGGACGGCAGCAGAAGGTGGTTTGGGGGGTCAGGAGGGAGTGTCATTGTCTGTACAGGAACCAGTTTAAGTTCCTCCCTCCCGTGGTAGGGAGGCAGTGTGAGATAGGTGTAGGGAGAAGCAGCCCAAGTCTTCAAACGCTAGACAGCTAGCCTGGGCATGCTCTGGCTTTGTGCAGACTTGTGAATTCCAGGGGGTTGGTCCCCTGCAGGGCCGAGTCCCTGTAAGCGAAACTGGGTAAGGCTCCCAGATGTTTCTTTTACTCCGGGTAGACTGTGAGGACCCCGGCCTCGAGATCTTTATTGGAAATCTGAGCCTTGGGCACTGGGCCTGCGTTATMAAAAAAAAAAAAAAAAAAAAAAAAAACCCTGCCGGCTACGGTAGGCATGAGGCCTGATGGCCCCTGCTGCTTGTTACGGATTCGCTACTTGATCGATGTATATATATATATATATATCGTATATATATATATATAGGGCCTCGCTCCACAACTCAACACTACATGCATTGGACGCCTTTCTGGACCAGGTGCGCTAGGAGGAGTTCGACAATTTTGAGTGTATGGGGACGACATCCAACTCCAAATACATGTACAGTGTTGTGGAGTGGAGCGAGGCGGATAGCCTTTGGGCACAGTGCCGGCTTGCAATAAAAGTCCCAAGGTCCCCCCCCGCCCCCCCCAAAAAAAAACAAAAATAAAATAAAAATAAAAATAAAAATCCTTGCTACTGCTGCTGGGCGGTAACAGCTGACTGTCTGTGAGGATATCGTACAGTAACAGTTGACTGTCAGGACTCAGGGGCCAAGTCCCACTAGCAGCGTTGAGCTACCTCAATGACTGAATCTGGACGTGTTTGAGGAGACGTGGAGTTCAGGAAACTCGACACCATTTCTGCACATATCCGCAATCACGTCCAGATTCAGGCGTTGAGATAGCTTAACGCTGCTAGTGGGACTTGGCCCCAGGATATCCTTTTTTTTTTTTCTTTTTTCTTTTTTCTTTTTTCGTGTGTCAGGATATCGAACAGTACAGACAGTTCTCGCTCATCTATTTATTTGATTTTATTATATCTCCGATTTATTTTATTTCCTCCGTCATTTGCGCGGCAGAGACCGTGTCAGTCGCAGAAGCAGCAGTGGCAGAGGCAGGAGGTGTCGGCACGGAATACTAGAGGTACGACCCTGGCCGTTTTACGACCAGATTGGCTCGTCTCCAAAAGCGGTGCGGGGTCTCGCGGCTGCCCTGTTTCCCCGCCTCGTGTCGGGGAAACCCTAAGCCCCTACTATAGCCCCCCTCCTCCCTCTCCATCCTCCCCCCCCCCCCCCCCCCCCCCCCCCCCTCCCCCTCCCCCCTCCCGCCTTTCCCCCATTCCTAGCCTACCATCCCGTACCCTATTCCATCAAGACGGTAGGCCTGCACCCAGAAGGGGTGCGGACGGGCAGATGTCGGAATAAGCAAGTCCCACTTATTACTACCGGTAGTCCCATTTACGCGAAATCTCAGTATCAGTATCTGACCATAGATTAGGAAGATCAAAGGCTGAAAACGGAACGGAACGGAACGGGGCCTGGCACCGGAATTCGACAAGGTGGGACTTGGTCCCGGGGCCGCAAACGACATCAAGCAGGAGGGGACACAACGGTAAGTGAACCAACCGTATAGAACAACAGACAAGGGTAAAAAGAAAAAGACAAAAAAAAAAAGGGAAAAAGAAAACGAAACTGTGTGCTGCCCACCCCGATTCCGGTCGGTCCCCTCAAACGAGACGCGTGGCTAGCGGTATCTCTGCCCACGATTGTGTACAGAGGTCGGCGGAGGGCGCTGAAGTCGGCTCTTGTGTGTGTTTGTGTGTACGTGTGTAAGAGAGAGAGAGAGAGAGAGAGAGAGAGAGTCGGCCGTAGGTAGGTAGGTAGAGAGAGAGAGAGAGAGAGAGAGAGAGAGAGAGAGAGAGAGAGAGAGAGAGAGAGAGAGAGAGAGAGAGAGAGAGAGAGTAGGCCGTAGGTGGGGCAGCAGTTGTTAGCCTAGCAGAGCTGGTGAGTGGGCAGAAGCTATTGGCGTTGTAGAGCCGGTGCGTAGTACGCGTGAGAAGCGTGCGGAGGGAGAGAGAGAGAGCACGTGGGTGCGGAGGGAGAGAGAGAGAGCACGTGGGTGCGGAGGGAGAGAGAGAGAGCACGTGCGTGCGGCTGCTGCTGTGTTTAGAGCGAGAGGGATGCAGATCGGGAGGCTACGTTGCGGCCGCAGAGTATTAGGATTAGGATTGGGATTGGGATTGGGATAGGGATTACCTGGCAGTGGCGGACACGTGGCACGTTGTGAGGAGGACGCCATGTCAGCCGGCCATGGCGTTACTTCATCTGCGGCGAGAGTCGTCCATCGCCCCGAAGTCGCTCGTTTCACCAATCGACATAACGGTAGGCTCTTTCTTTTTTTTTTTTCCTTTTCTTTTTTCTTTTTTTTTTCCCTTTACCTCTCGCTCGGTTCTACCTTTTTTTTTGGTTGTTTTCTCCTAAAAAAAACGGTATGATTGTTGTCTTCTTCCCCTTCGTCTGTCGGCTTGGCCGTCTCCTGCTTCGTGCGCTCCTCGGATTGTCTAACGTCTCTGTACTCTCTCTCTCTCTCTCTCTCTCTCTTGTTTTTCCTTCCTTCCTCTTCGGGCTCGCTGCACTACTCTCCAGATGCACAAAAGACAAAAACTATGGCGGTGTATCTTTCCACGATCTAGCGGAAGATTCATTCTCTCATTTTGCTCATTTGGAGAGTAGTGCAGTGAAGCCCTTCGTCTGTGTTTTCCTTGATATCTCTGGGGGAAGCTCCCACTACTCGCCCCTGGTGAATCTGTCCTCCCTCCCTCCCCCTCTCTCTCTCTCTCTCTCTCTCTCTCTCTCTCTCTCTCTCTCTCTCTCTCTCTCTCTCTCTCNCTCTCTCTCTCTCTCTCTCTCTCTCTCTCTCTCTCTCTCTCTCTCTCTCCTCTGTGAGAGTGTCTCTCTCTCTCGCTCTCTCCTTCTCTCAGAGTGACGTCGTTTTCTATTTAAATTTGTGCTCTTTGTATTCTTTCCTCTTCTTCGTTTCCTTCTTCTTCTTCTTCTTCTTCTTCTTCTGTTTGCCATTTTTTTTAATACCCATTTTGGCATTTTCTGTATTGAATTTCCTGTGTACTCTGGTTATTGATCGTGGATAATATTACCATCGTCAATACCTATATTGTTTTTGTCGTTTTGCGTGCTTCTTCCTCCTCCCCGTCGTCCTCCTCCTTTTCTCCTCCTCCTCCTCGTTGTCGTTGTTTCTTTAAATAGCCAGCGGGTGAGCGGAAGTTCTGTAGGTCCGTTCGTCGGACATTTACCCGCGAAAAAAAAGGTGCACTCTTTCCTAATCCGTCAGTTTATATATTGCTGTGCTTAGGGCCTCGCTCCAGTACTCAGCACGTGCACAAAAAAAAGACAAAAAACGTGGCGGTGTATCTTCCCATTTTCTAGCGGAAGATTCACTCCCATTTTGCACATTTGGTGAGTGCTATCGGTGGACGATATATCGGTCCGTTTGTCGGACATTTACCCGCGAAAAAAAAGGTGCACTCTTTCCTAATCCGTCAGTTTATGTATTGCTGTGCTTAAGGCCTGGCTCCACTACTCTCGACATGCAGAAAAGACAAAATCACGGCGGTGTATCTTTCCATGTTCTAGCGGAAGATTCATTCTCATTTTGCGCATTTGCTGAGTAGTGGACCGGGGCCCTTACTCCGATTTTTTGACATAACACACTGTTAAAACTAACAAGCAAAGGGTGAAGATTTTCTTTATAATAATAACATCAACAATAATAATATAATAATTGTAATAATAATAATAATAATAAAATAATAATATACTAATAATACTAATAATACTAATAATACTAATATAATAGTAATAATAATAATAATAATAATAATAATAATAATAATAATGCTACCTTCGTTAAAAAAAAGGAAAAATAAAATTAACAAGCAAAGTGTGAAGACAGCAAGTTTTGCCTTTTTTTTTTCCGAAAAAATTCGTAAATGTCCCGACAAACGGACCGATAGAACTTTGGCTCAGAGGGCGGCTACTACCTTCTTCCCCCAAATACAACGTACGGTAATTATAGACGTATTTGGTCTATCTCTCAGTCTAGATACAGCTATAATGACCGTACCTTGTATTCGGGGGAAGAAGGGTAGAGAAGGACTACGACGACGACGAAGAGGAGGAGGAGGAGGAGGAAGAAGAAAGCAAAACGACAAAGAGAACATGGATATCGACGATGATGATTTGAGTGTTTTAAATCAGTGGCAGGTAGGTGGTGAAAGGCGGCAAAAAAAGAAAGAATTCGAGATAATAAGAAAGAATATAGAGTAGTTAAAAAAGGAAAAAAATCCCTCCCCCTAACCTTCCCCCTCCTTCCCCCCCAACACCCGCGGCTTCTCTGTGGCCTGGGCCGCAAGTTCCCTACGCCATATCGTCAAAGAGAGTAATTTCTGCTCCGATTGGTCTGAGAAAGCACATTAGTTATATATCCGTATAATAAACCACATTTCTCCTTAAAAAAAAAAAAAAACTCGTAATCTTTTCCCCGTTTGTCAATGCAAACGATGCATATCCATATCATCCGTCTCGAGCAGTGAATTTTATAATTTTTATTTACTGTAATATCCATATCCGTCTGCTGAAAGCATATGTGCGCCGATTGGTCTAAAAAACAGAAATAATTATAAGTAAATTAAAGATTAAATAACTTATGAATATAAAGTGAGCAATTAGATGTGTTTTAATTTATTTCGAATTCCCTTTCAGGGAAGTGAGATATTTTCCCTTTTAAAAACAAAAAAAAATTTCGGATTCCAAATACATGAAACTCACATATGTCGGCCTGACTCTGAGTTAGCGCCCTTACAGGAAAGGGCAATTTACCATAATTCTATCTGAAGGGCAATCCACCCTCCTGACTGTCTGTGTCTGTCTCTCTCTCTCTCTCTCTCACTCGCTCGCTCGCTCGCTCTTCCTGTTTCTACCGTTCTGTCTTTGGAGATGTTTTTTTTTTTTTTTTTTTTTTTTTTTTTTTTTTTTTTTTTTAAATAATAATATAGTCTTTCGAGATGTTAACCTCCTATTTATTTTGCTTTTTAACTCTTCCCGTTGACATTTCACTTCATTGTAGACTTCCAGGATTTTTTTTTTTTTTCTTGACCGAAATTCAATGGCCTAATAAATAAAGTGCGGTGATGGTAAGTACGAGATGGTAAGTACGAGATGCCACAGTGAAGTTGAAGGGCAGGGATCGATTGGTTGATTGATTGGTGGTTTGATTGATTGATTGGCTGATTGGCTGGTTGATTGATTTGATTGGCTGATTGATTGGTTGATTGATTGATGGGTTGATTGATTGATTGATTGATTGATTGGTTGATTGATTGATTGATTGATTGATTGATTGGTTGATTGGTTGATTGATTGATTGATTAATTTAGCGGTGTCATCCTCGATACGAATGTCGTTAGATGATGATTAAAAAGAGAATGAAAGAGAAAAAGGAAAAAAAAAAGAGGATATAGAATGCTGCTGAATGCTGATTGTAGGGGGGAGGAGAAAAACAAATCTGGATATGAAATGTTCTCGATAATATCCCTTCTGGAAAAAAAGGCAAAAAAAAAATACAAATATGCACATGAATGCTTTAATCCCAAAGGCTGTCTTTCTCGTCTACAATCAACAGATCACCTTCACACTTGGAATGCGGCGACATGACCAATGTTTTCACTCGGATGAGTGAGTGTGTCGTCCTTCCTCCTGAAGCCGTTGAATGATCCTAGTGGAGGGGTGGGTTTCTCTTTCAAAAAAGAGAGGAAAACAGAACAAGAAAAGAACGACCAACAAAAAAAAAAAGGAAAAAAGAATCAGCAAAAAGAAAAAGAAAAGAAAAACAGAATCAGAAAAAAAAAAAAAACACAGAATCACAAGAAAAAAAAGATAAAGAAAAAGGAAAAGAAAAGAAAAGAAAAGAAATGAAGAAACGGAAAGAGGGGCGGATGTGTTGCGCAAACGAGGACGCAAAGGGGGAAACTTTGTGGAACAGCAGAGAGTAGCGTCACAAGAGAAGAAGAAAAAAGGGAAATGACGAGAGAGAGAGAGAGAGAGAGAGAGGGGAATCGGTTACAACTGTATCTACTCAGGGCTGTCACCGAATCGGATGTTCCTTGAGGTGTCTTCCTCTCTCTCGTCCGTCTCCCCTCTAGAG